CGACGCGCACGTCGCGCCGGGCAGCGACTACTGGGGCGACGCGCTCGGTGCCGAGCGCGTGGTGCGGCGCTCCGGCGGCATCGTGTGCACCACGGCCTACGCCGTGTCGCAGACGGGCGCCGCCAAGCTGCTCCTGCGCAGCGCCGTCGACCTCGACAACCCCGTCGACCTCGTCATGCGCCGCATGATCCTCTCGGGCGACCTGCGCGTCTACAGCGTCATGCCCACCGTCTTTGGCCAGTGGGAGTACGTCGACGGCATCGGCATGTCTGAGCGCGGCGCCAACAGCGACATCCACGGCGGCAACCCCGACCCCGACGCCCCCGACGCCCCCCTCAACCTCACCGGCTGGGACACGGTCCAGCAGACCGGCAGCATCTGGCAGAACAGGGAGGGCCACCCGAGCATCGCGTTTACCGACATGGCGCTGCAGAAAGCCTGGGGGCTGATTATGGGCGACTCGACGCTGCCCGCCAGCCAGTTTAATGAGACGGACGGGAACTGAGAAGAGAAAAGGATGCTGGGACAGGGAAAGGGGCGCGGTGGTAGAGTCGCCTTGTTCCGTCATGACATGTAGGATATTGCATCAGCGGTTGGTTTTTCCTTGGGTGTGTATCTAGATAAATTCTTGCCGATTTTAGCACACGGGCCTGTTTTATTACCATATATCTGTCTTTTCATTACTATACACATAATATCACGTACGAGTTTGGAGCAAGAAGGAAAGACGCACTCCACGACGCTGCGCCAACTACAATGAGATGCGTCATCAGGTTGCAACTGGACAGACAAGTAGGATCAAGAGTTTCCATTGAATGCAGGCTGGGTGCAGCTAACACAAGAAAAACTACCTAAGCAGAGAGCAATTGCCCTCGACGTCCCTCAAAAAAAAAATTAAAAAAATTCAGGGTCCTATTGATATCCCATTCTCTCGTGCTTACGTTGAAGCACTCGAGCAAACCTCGCCACTCGAGGTATCATATTTGGAGTGCCATACTCCAAGCTGAGAAATGGTCAGCTATTTGCAAGTAGCAATAACCGTCCATTTCATATATTCCATGGCTCCGCGGAGCCGCCCATTCATTTCCATCTATATAAAGCATGTTGGTTCCCCCAGGGTTGCTGTGAAAAGGGCAAGCGGGAGGGTTGATTATTATCTTGTAGTGTCGTAGAGTGTTGAGACGTCCCAAGGTTCACTGTTCAACAGCGAAGCCGAAGCAAGGTGCCAAGACTGAAGCGTCAAGCAGATCATCGGTAAAAAAAAAAGAAAAAACTAGAGTGTTGAACTGGTTCGAGACGTTTGCCAGCAAAAGGGTATGTGCAAGAAGATAAAAGTAGCAGAAGCGAACGACAAAAAGCCATTAAAAGAGATACCAGGAGAAACGTAGAGTGACAAGTGTGTCACGGAGTTTCGGCCAGGCAAGTGATGGTTGAGCTTCGCGCTGCGGGGGTATCTGCCCAAATGCCAGCTGTTGCTAGAGACCAGAAGAAAAGCGCAAGAGTTGAGAGACGAATGGAGGGAGAAAGCGCAAAGAGCAAATGTTGTTGTGAACCCGTGTCATCGTAGTAAGAGTTGGCCGTGATGTAGACATTTCGCCGTCGATATCACGAGGGTGTGACAGGCATTCCTTTTGGCCCAGCCAAGTTGGCCGGGTGTATTTTGATATCCGGACCCAGTTGCTTCAAGCGATAAAAAGGGAAAAAGGGAAATAAAGATAACCCGCGCCAGAAAAACGCCGTGCATGCAGATCGTACTATACAGAACCGAGTCGTAGAAGAGCCTCGACAGCGTCACGCTCCTGAGCGCCAGAGGCGCCAGCGAGAGCAATCATGTCAAAGCCAGAGTGAGGGAAATGAGCCATGCCGGACCGGCCGGAAAAGGCACGCATGCCCGTGGTGTTGTAGGTGTGTGGGACGGGCACATTGGGGTTGGACAGAGCAGCGGCCATGTTGGGGTAGGATTCGGCGCGCAGGGCAGCGGCACCCATGGCAGCCCAGTCCTCGTCGTCGGTGACATCCTCGGGGTCGTCATTCATGGTGACGTCGTCGTCGGGGGCTTCGGAGCACGAGGCGGACTCGTAGCCGTCCATGGACATGTTGTCGGCCTCATCCTCCATCATGGGGATGGTGTGGTCGTCGTGGGAGAAGTGAAAGGACTCGCCACTAGAGCCAAACATGTTTGCTCTAGCCCTCTCCTGGGCTCGCAGAGCGTTTCTGGAAATGGGAATACCGCCGTTGGGGAGAGACCCCGGGGGTGTGGCGTCGCGGTCACGTCCTGGGAGTCCGCGTCGCTTGGCGTTCCACCGTCCCCAGCCGACCTTTTCAAAGTCGACTTCATTGTCGCCATGGGCGCCGTCTCCGCGGCCTTCGAGGGCACCGACGACCAGCCTGCGAGCCTTGGCCGGGGGGATGCCGGAGAAGCCGGGCACCGAGGTAGTCAGGTAGCCGATGATGTGCCGTATCGCCAGAGGTCCGTGGTTGAGCAGGATCTCGGGGAGGTGATACGTGCCCAGCATGGCGCTGGTAATAGTACCGGAGGCGTCGTGGTGCGGGGAGACGGAGCGCTTGGGGCCGTAAGCGTCTTGGTGGAGGTCCAAGTCGGAGTCGATGGGCTCAAGCTTGGCCGCCTTTTGAAGCTGGGCCTTGAGACCGTGGGCGGCGAGCGCAGGGGAGATGGAGTTGGGAGGAGTCGGGAGGTTATGAGATCGTGCCACAGTCGCCGGGTCGCTCCGATCCGCTACAACAGTCAAGTTGTCTCGGTTCAAGGAGGCCTGAGGAATGTCACGAGCAGCTGCTGCCATGGAAGCCATGATGTTTATACCAGGTGTGGGAAAAGGGCTTCAGAACAATCTGGGACGGGACGAGTTAGCGCGAGAGCTGATAGGGGTGCGAGGCGTGATGCAGGTAATGAGGAGGCGATGTAGAGGCAGAGTGTGACGTGGCACTGGTACTGGCGACGATGACAGCAACGGCGACGACGATGTGAGGGCGACTCTGGGGTTTGCGATGCAGGAGCTGGTGGTGAGGTGCAGTTGAGTCACTTGCAGCCGGGCTACGTACCTAGATGTCCCGAAGCGGAAGTTGGCGAAACTGGTATGAACTTGAGAAACTCAGTATATTCTGGATGGACAGGCGGTGGCAGAGCTGGCGCGACTCTCTGGACTGTGACAGATGACTCTCGATGATTAAAATAGGATGGGATGCGTTGTTGTTGTTGCTTTGAAGAAGAGAAGAAGGGGAGGGAGGGTCGGAGTCTCAGCGAGGAGAGACGCGAGTTATGTACAGCCTCAGCGCTATTACAGGCCGGTAGGGTTGCAATAGCGCTGTAGCAAAACGCTGTCCGCTGTAACGGGACGCGCGACGATGATGATTCGGGGGGGGGGGGGAGGGGGGTGGCTCTTGGGTGTGGCGCTTTGATAAGTACTCATCACGATGTGCTTCTGCGAAAAGGGACTTTACTATCTGCCGTGGGAAAGTTCAGTCAGTACTAGTTCGTGTTGCTGGAGAGGCCGAGCGAGCCACGCCAGTCAAAGCCTGAGCCTAACTGGAGGGCGGTACATTGTGGCACAGGTACAAGCCTGGCAGGTGACAAAGGGCGTCGCCGGTGAAAGGGTTAATGGGCTAATAACCGTGGTTCAAAAGGTACTTTCAGATCCGCGCTACCACACATGCTAAATCAAAGTAACTCGACGCGACATGGTGTCGTCAGTCTGGAGGGTGTGGGCGCAAGGCCCCGCTGTTTTTCGCTCAATGCCTCGCCACTGTATCTTTGATCCCAAATCCTCTACCATACTGAAAATACTGCTAATATGTCGCTGACACATGCACCCAGATATCCCTAATCCCATGACTCCCAGCCGGCACACCAAGCCACACCCTCGGGACCGGCAGGACTGAGCTCCGGTGGTGGCGATTGTTCACCTTCTTTGACGGGAATCAAGAAACACCTTTTTCACCATCCCGCCCTTTTTTGTCCTTGCCGGTTCTTGTGTTGCCGATTGCAAACGCCCTGTGTCACTTACATCAAAGATGACGGGCAGGGGGGGGAGGGGCGTGGTGGGAAAACGGGCACCGCCAGCGCAAACGGCTACCAAGTAAACACTGAGAAGCCGTCGCGCGCCACAAGGACTGACCAGTAAGCTGACCTAATGGCAGCACACTACTAGGAGCCGGAGCGCAAATGGCAACAAAAGAATTTCAAGGGATGCAAACTTTTGCCCTAATTATTTTCGTGGCCTCTTTTTTTTTTTACGTCCTGTTTCTGTGCGGTGGGTTTCGTGGTTCGTCGGGTTGAGGATTGTCTTGCTTCCCCGCGCACGCGACCGAGAGATCGGAGCTTCTCGGCCAACAAAGCGGACAACGTGGGCGCGCCAGTTGATGAGAATCGCGGGGAGAGCAGAGAGTAACAGAAGAGGCAGGCTAACACGGTTCCAGTGCCGACGATACAGTAGTAGTCTGGGTATGTAGTTTTCCGTCTGATGCACGCTGACCTGGCTTCTGCCTTGACAGACGACTGCCGTGTTGTCCACTAACATGGGAGGGACGAGGTATCACACGACGAGCCGGCCACCGTAGACGACAAGAATACAAGGCAGTCACCCAAAAACCCAATCAGGTAGTACAAACAAGCTGTATGAAGAATTCCACAAGACCAAAAGTCGTGCCTGTCATCCGGGTCGTTGCAGCCGACTCTCAGCCTCCGCCGGTCCGCTTCTACCACGCGCCATCGTTCCAGCGCATTTTTACAGCGCCATTGCTTCCAGCACATGCTCTCCTCCATTCGTCCACGAGACACCCGAACCACGATACATGCCCATTCGTCAATTCCGCCTTGATTATTGTGCTAGAAAACAAGAAACGAATATCGGCAACCCCTTCGCTTTCGTCATTCTTTTTCTGTGCGTTTTGCCATTTTCTGCTTAGCACTCTGTTCGTCCACTGCCCCTTTCGAATATCCGTCCAAGTCGAGGCCCTTTGCCCTATCCTCTTGTTAGATTAACCTTCATTTTACCACGTTCGATTCTCCCTGGCTCATTATCCCCCTTTTCACCTCTGCTTTTCAGCAACCAAACAAATCCCTACCTATTCTTTCCTATACCGCGCATGTGTCATGGTCATGCCTTCCCATCACTTCTCTCACATAGCCCACTCGCCTTCTGCCCGGCCTGACTAAAACTGACGTGCATCGAGGATCCATCTTCTCTCTCTTCTTCAACTGCTGAAAATAGCACATCCAACCGCGTTACTCCATATTATTCCCCCAAAGTGCATTTCATCCTTGCACGGGAGGGGCGTGTGTTGTAGAAACCCGCCGAGACCCCCAGTGCGTCATTAGTTGGTCTTTGAGTCCTTGGCTTCCCTCTACAGAGCCCAATTGAACAACTCGTGGTCGCTCCCAGTGGCTCATAACGTGCCGTCAAATGGATCCATCATTCGTTTTTACGTGGCAATGCCGGATTCAATCGCGAGAAGGAGAAAATGTGAACCATCAAATGACTTTTGCAAAATGTCTGAGCCATTTTCAAAGCCCTCTCAGATGCCTACATTACCCGAGAACCTAGTTTGGTGCGTATTGATATAGAGTGCCAATTCAGCCAACGCTCTTATCATTGCACTGCACAGATAGTACAGATTACAGTTGACGGCCATCAATCGCGTCTTGGCCATGACTGCATCTCTCCAGCCCACTTCCCCGCGCCCGCGATAACACACTTGGGCCTGAGCGTCATTCCGCGAGTACTTCATTTGTTTTGTGCGATGACGATAAAAGAAAGCCCTAATCCTAGTACCGAATTCATATGCCCTTGGTTCATCGAATCGCGCCACTGTCTGCATCAACCAGCCCAGCATCTGGCCCTGCCTAAACACGCAAACCACACGCCGCCACACGTGTGTCATCTCGAGCCAATTCCGGCCCGGACCATTCTTTTTTTTTCGCCCAATGTATACAAGGTGCAAGAAAAACCTTGTTGTTTCTCGGCGTCTGTAAAACAGTTCAGTGCCATCGTGCTGCCTGCTGCTCCATTATTGGCCGCAATTGCGATATAAAATACAGCTCCGCGCAAGACTTCATCCCCGGAAGGATACCCCGCTCTGCAGTACACACAGGACGCCGAGCTTGCCCTCTTCCTCGTCTGCTTCGTCATGCAACTTGCCCTCTACTTCTTCTGCCTCTTCATGCCGCATGCCCATCCCGCGGCCCAATCCAACCAAACCAGGCAGCTGGATCCGTCATGCCAAGCTCGTCAGACACGCTGCTAAATCACGCGCATAGAAACAAGAATTTACAGGTGGTGGCGCACCTCCTTCGATTCCGTCTTCATCGATGTTGCTCTATCTTATGGATTAGTTCATCTAATTTCTTTCATCATGCTGGTTCCATCATGACCGGTTTCGTCATCCAGGCTGCGCAAAGACAAACTCGCGACACGCCCGCTTCAGCACATTCAGCCGCTCCTGCGACTGCATAAAGACCTCTCTGTATTGCGCGATGCTTTCCCGGAGCATGACATCCTTGCTGAGCCGGCCCTCGCAGATGGCCTTCATCTTGAGTTCCACCTCCTTTCGTAGAAACGGCTTGCCCAGGCTCGTCTCGAAATTCATCCGGTCAAAGCCCAGTATCAGGGCCACACCCAGCTGCGTCGGCACAAACACCCTGACGCCCCCGCCTCTGCCTCGTCCCGTTGCTCCGCCGCCGCCACGACCGCCTCTTCCGCGACCCCGACCACGCCCACCACGGCCGCGTCCACCTCTGCCTGCTTGCGCGCTGTCAGAGTCTTGGTCGTCATCGCTGCCACCGCCCGTGGCAGCACCCGAACGGTCTATCGTCGCCGCGTATTCTCGGTCCTGGATTTTCTGAATGTGTTCGGCCATGGTCGCATCCGTGCCAATACCGTTGGCATCCATTAGCGCAATGAGATCTGCTTCCGTAAGATACGACGGTGGCCCTGTTTTGCCTTCCGTCATCATGGCCTCGGTCGGTTGAAATTGCTCTCCAACTGTAAATTTGGGCAGCTCCGCCGTGTCGTTCCATTTCTCGTATACGTAGACATCGAGGTAGTTTCGTTCCAAGACAATGACGCCATGAGCGCTAAACATCTCTTCGCCGAATTGAAGCTCGATTTCCGTTGCGGAACCCTTGGCATCTTCTGAGCAGCAGGCAAGAAACCGTCTCACAACATACTCGTACAGGCGTCCTTCGTCGTGGTTCAACACGCTCGGGGCGGCATACGTAATAGGATGGATAGGCGGATGCGCTTTATCATCGTGCCTCCCTTCACGTGGCTGCTGAAACCCACCGTTCACAAGACCTTGTGCGAATTCACCCCAGCGCTGGTCAGGTGTCTGCTTTTGCACCAACGTGCGCAGATTTATGCCCTTGTCGAAGCGGTCCGTCTCTGTTCTTGGATAGCTGATGAATCCTTTGTTGTAAAGCCCTTCTGCAATTGTCATGGCTTGTTGACCACTCATCCGAAGCAAGCGAGTGGCTGCCTTTTGGAGCTCGACTGTGGTAAGTGGCAGCGGTTTAAACCTGCGCGTTGGCTTTTCCTGAACCTTGGTAATTTTGGCCAATTTAGCAGCCAGGCATCTTTCATATAGAATAATGGTCGTCATGCGATCAAAAAGCCGAGATCGTGACCAGCTGAAAGAAACTTGCTTGCGTTCACGGCTGTGGGTGACCTTGATGCTCCAGAATGGCTCCGGGACAAAATTCTTGACTCGAAAATACCGGTCTACAACGAAACCAAGGGTAGGGAATTGGCATGAACCTTGAGAGCACAGACTTCAGCACGCGAATATTCAACCTTTACGTAGGAACAGACTTACCGTAGCTTAGGGTCAAATTTTCCATTGGTCCGCCCAGTGGCCGTAGATTGTTGGTCATGAACCGTGTGAAGGCGTATCCTATGCGCAAATCGAGTTCCATTCGCGCAGCGACAGCATTCACCTGCTTCTCGTCAAGATTGATAAGGCGAGTGGCAGCAGTCAAGACGTGCCTATACCGAGTCAGCGCATGCGAGTGAGGATGGGGTTCGCGGCAACCATCTTACGCTCTTTCGACGTTGCTGAAGCGAGCACGTTTGACTTGTAGTTGAGCGTTGCCCTTCTTGGCAGCATCGACGATCTCTTGGCCAATGTGCTCTCCCTCGCGATCGCAATCCGTCCAGATGACGAGCAGACGGGCAAACCTTGCCTGCTCCGCCAAATTTTGGGCAATATTTTTCTTATCCTGGGAATTATTAGAGACTGCATGTGTGAACGGTTACAGAAATGATATACATCGTATACACTGGTGACGACTGGCGCGTGGAAGAGCGACTCGGGGGGCGGGAAACTCCAGTTCTTGTGCTCGGGTGTAAACTCGAGATTGGTGAGGTGGCCGATGACGGCAGTCATGGTGACTGAGCATGGGCCATATGGCGGCCCAAAATCGAAATCAAAGGCATAGTTCTTGATGTATTGGTTGCGAGTGTTGTGCTAGACGACGCAGCGTGACCGTGTTAGTCGCTGTTTTGCTACGCAACCGTCATGTCCATGTCAACTCACGGTCTGAAATTGGCCACCGGAGAGATGGCCAGCTACCGCCTTGGAGATGGATGGCTTCTCGGCCACACATAACACCCGCATATTCAATACATGTGTATATTTGAGTGTATTTCTGACTTTTATGCGATGTTGTCAGTGTCGCCCACGTCCCTAGACTTTGGACACGACAGCTATAAACGCGTCGCGTGATGGCAACTGTGCAACTGTACCACCCCCGTGGACGGATTCACTCGCATATTGATGGTGTGCGATTCGGGTTCAAAAGCTTCAGTGCGCCATTGGCGGTATCATCGGGCTTGTTTGTAGTATTCTGCTTCGTGTGGAGGGTGTTTGTGAAGGTCTGAGGAGCAAGTTTGAGATTTTGACTGATTCTTAGGTGGGCAGCTGGCAGCTCCACCCAAGCTCCAGGACGCCAGCCGTATATTTTGTCACGGAATGACAGCGTAAAACAGCTCTTTGGGGAGTGTAAATTCCTACGCAGTTTTTCATGTAGCTGTCTGCAGCTCGTGAGCTTCATCATCCGTATCTTAACAACAGTGCAATACTTGCACCGCAGCCTTACAGCCTTGCAGCAAATCATTGTTTGCTCTGCCTAGCGTCCGATGACGTTGCACCCGGCTATGCACCCGGCTAGCTGTAGGTAGCAGACAACCCTCAGTGCCTCAGCGCTCTCTATGACGCGCGAGCCCCCTTCTCGCCATCAACAACTCACCGTGGGGAAAGCCCTTGCCCAAAGCGCCCTTCCTTCAACAACAGGCAGCGCGATTTCAGGATTCGATATCCTCCATCCTCCACCCTCCATCTCGAAACCATGATTCCCGTCCTCCGGTCCATCGAGGACTGCGCCGACTACGCCAAGACGGTGCAGCCGTTCCTCCCCCAGCTCTATGCCCTGCCGCAGGTGCTCATGGCCAACGGCGCCAACCTCGCCGGCCTCAAGGACATTTACGTCCAGACGAACCCGCTCGTCAGCGGCTTCTCCGTCTCCGTTCTGTTCGGTGCCATCTTCCTCGCCGTTTCGGAGCTCAACCGCAACTATTCCCAGGTCGACCGCCTCTGGAGCATCCTGCCCAACCTTTACGTCGTGCACTTTGCTGTCTGGGCCCGTCTGGCTGGCCTCCCGTACCACCGCCTGGACTTGGTTGCCATTGCTACCACTATCTGGAGTGTATGTTTAGTCTACGTACTACCACCGAAGCTATTCACGCTAATCACAGGATGCAGGTCCGTCTTACCTTTAATTACTGGCGCAAGGGTGGTTACGAGGTTGGCTCTGAGGACTACAGATGGTGCATCATTATGAAGCAGGTTCCCAAGCCCGTCTTCTTTCTCTTCAACGTCACCTTCATCTCCTTTATCCAGAGCATCTTGCTATTTGCTTTCTCTGCCGCCCCTGCCTACAATATTCTTCTTTCCACCCGCTTTGAACCCCAGATCACCACCGCCGATTGGGCGTACTTTTACATCATTCTGGGCCTGGTTCTGAGCGAATGGATCAGTGACGGCCAGCAGTGGGGTAAGTTCTCTCATAAGCCTCTCGCCAATTTCACCAGATTCCACCATGCTAAAACAACCTAGATTACCACAAGGCCAAGCATTCATACCTCAAGACCGCCAAGGTACCCGAAGGCTGGTTCCAGGAGGAGCTTGACCGCGGATTCCTCACCAGCGGCTTATGGGCTTACAGCAGACATCCCAACTTCTTCGCCGAGCAAGCCATCTGGTTCGTCCTCTACCAGTGGAGCTGCTACGCCACCAACACCCTCTACAGCTGGGCTGGCGCCGGCTCCTTTGCCCTGTTTGCTCTATTCCAGGGTTCGACCTGGCTTACGGAGCTCATCTCTTCTGGAAAATACCCCGAGTACGCTCACTACCAGAAGCAGGTCGGCATGTTCCTCCCCACCTCGTTCAGAGGCTACACGCCGCCTGCTCCCAAGATGCCCAAGATTATCCGCACCAGCGAGCTCGCCAAGCGTCAGGAGCAAAGGGAGAAGCAGACGCAGTGAACTCACGGATTACTGGCCCCTCATAATTGAAGACCCTATGAACGATGACCGCCGCACGGTCGTCCGGAGACTCTGAATCGAGTTGTTGAAAAAGACGAAGCCGCCATGTATTCATTTTATAAATTTGTGTCTAATAGTCTAGGTCATTTCTAATCTAAATATTCTCTCTATGCGCCTTCTCGCAAATCGCTCAGCTTATCAGCGTAAAACGCAGGCACGGCAATGGCGTCCTCGGCCTCCCAATCAGCCTTGGAGTTGACACCCGTCAGCACGTGGAGCGTGCCGCCCAGCTTGCCCTCAATGCCAAACTTGATGTCCGTGTTGAGCCTGTCGCCGACCATGCACGTGCGGGCGCGGTCAAGCTGGAACTTGCCCTCGACGGCGTCCATCATGGCCTGGCTGGGCTTGCCGAGCGAGAGCGGCGGCGCGCCGACGGCGTTGGCGAGCGGCACGCTGCACGATCCCGCGCCGAGGAAGAGGTCGTGGTGCATGGGCAGCGTCGAGTCCGTGTTGGTGGCGAGAAAGTGGGCGCCGCGGCGCAGGTAGTGCAGGCCGTGCGCGAGCTTCAGGTAGTTGATGTGGAAGTCGAGGCCGCAGAGCACGGCACCGACGGTCGGGTCCAGCAGCGAGCCGTCGGCGAGGCCGGCAAAGTCGGCGGGCGTAATGTCGCGCCGGAAGGCGGGGTCGGTCGCGCCGATAAACGGAACGCCCTCGGCGCCGAGTTCCACCTCGACGCCGGCCTCGCCAATGACGTAGACCTTGTCCTTGCCGGGCGGCAGCTTGAGGATGCGCGCAATGTAGACGGCCGCCGAGTAGGACGAGCCAAAGACGTCGTCGGCGCCGGCCTCGATGCCCATGGCCGTCAGCTTCTTGACGTAGTCTTGTCGCGACTTTGTGGAATTATTCGTCACGAACACGATTCTCTTTCCTGGGAAACGCCCTTGTCAGACGTGCGGTTCGGTTTCGGGGCCATAGGACCTACCTTTTGAGCGCAGGAGTAGGAGCGTCTCCGGGACTCCTTCAAATACATGATCGCCGGACCACAAGACACCTAGATCGTCAAAGTCAGCAAGGGCCCCCGGAGGATCTGGGAGGGACGCGAATGCTTACCGTCGCAGTCAAATAAAAAAGTCTGTGGGTTGAATCGACAAGAGTGTTTAATTAGTCACACGCAGAGAGCGATTAAGTGCGCCAAAATAACGCACATCAAACTTGTCGAGGAAGTCTTTGATAGCAGCACCGTCACCGGTGAGATATTTTACAGAGGCTGCCATCCTTGCTGCCAAGTCGCGAAATGGAAGAGATGATGCAGACGCCAGTCAATCAAACGGCAAGTCCTTAGGATTAGAGAAAATATGCAGTGCGATGCCGGGTTGAGACGGTGAGATTCATGTCCCGGTCCAGGATGCATGATTAGTCATGGACTCATGAATCCGAGACCGTTGCAGAAACCGTTGCCGCAACACTCCTCTATATGCATTGGCGCACTGATATCCATATATAAAGATAAAGTGGTCTACTTAAAAAATGATATAGGCCATGGCAATAAGTGCTACTCCTCTTGCGTAGCGCCTCATAGCACCGACTATACGAAAAATTATGATTCATGTAGGGTATTATGACGACATCGTACGTCGGGACGACACTTGGGACGGGGGGGGGGATGAGAGCTCTCTTTGCTTCTGTTTATCAACCATTTCACTACTACAAAATTGAATTTATGCTATATGCTATGGAGATGACGTGAAATCAGGACGCTCACAACACATTCTACTTCATCAGAAAGGGAAGCGCGGCGCATCAATGACAACGCTCGACGCATCCACCTCGGCGTGCTCGTTCCACGGATCAAAGTCCGACTGGCACACCGTCTCGCGCGACGGAACCTTGCCCGTCTCCATGTACTCGCTCGCGATGCCCTTTGTGCATGCACTATTGGCGGAACCGAGCGCGCAGTGACCCATGGACTCCTGCACGACGACCACGGCGCCCGGGTGCGCGGCAGCCATGCGGCGCGCCGATCGCAGCGGCGTGACGGGATCGAGGCGGCTGGACAAGAACAGCAGCGGCGCGGCTGGCTTGCCGGGGACGGGGCGTCCATGCCGCGTGCGCTCGTACGGCGGCGTCGTAAACGGGCCGTCAAAGAACCAGTGGCGGGGGAAGCGGAACCCAGCGCACGGCAGGCGAATCTTGGACCAGAAGCTGCCAAAGGTGCTGGACGTGCGGCGCTCGCTGGCGACAAAGTCGCGCCACCACGCCAGGTCGCGCCCGGTGACGTCCTCGCCGTCGGCGCAGCGCGTCGCGATGCTGGCCTCGTTGGCGGCGAGCTGCATGACGGGCACGCGGAGGCTGTCGCGGCCGCCGGCCGCGCACGCCTCGCGCAGCTGCGGGAACGCGCCGAGCGTGTCGAGCAGCGCCACAAACGACGTGGCGTTGCCGGCGAGCAGGGCGGCGAGCGCGGCGGCGAGCGGCTTGAAGGACCGGCCGGGCGCGTAGTTGGTGATGGCGGCCGCGATGCGCACGTCGGCGGCCGTCAGCGCCGAGACCCCCCCGCCGGGCGTCGAGGTGATGGGCAGCGGCGCGTCGGCGAGGTCGGCGATGAAGGCTTCCACGCGCGCCTGGATGGCGGCGCCTGACGCGTCGCCGGGCTGCACGAGCGGGCAGACGGAGGCGCCGGCGGCGTGGCAGCCGGTGTAAAAGTGCGCGGTGATGTTGTCGGCGTCAATCGTGCTCGTGACCCAGCCCTAGAAGAAAGAAACGAGTTATTGAATATGAGGGCGGAGGAAAGATCTTGTGGCAAGGACAAGACTTACTGGTCCTGAGGAGTAGTCTTCGGCATCGACGACACCGTCAAGGATGAGGCGGCCGACACGCTCAGGAAAGAGCGAGGCAAAGTAGTTGCCCAAGATGGTGCCGTACGAATAGCCAACGTATTGCAGACGCGGGACGTCCTTTTTGTGGTGACCCCTCTTTCGCAGCTCGCGACGGTCCTCCTCCACCCCATCCTCCTCCTCCTCCTCCTCCTCCACACTCAACCCCTCCGCCTTGAGCTGCTCGTCAATCTTGTCCACAATGTGGACCATGTCGCGCGCGACACTCGGCGTGCTCATGTATCCCATAATCTCTGCGCCCGGCGCACCGGCCTCGCTCTCCGCCGCGCACCTGCCCAGGAGGCTCCTATACAGGCCGAGCAGCCGGGGCACTGCCGCCGGCACCGAGCCATCGACGATGCCGACGCCGCGCTCCTCGTAGGCAAACGCATCGCGCGCCAGGTCATTATGCGGGAGGCAGTTGGCGCGCGGCCAGCTGCGGCCGACGCCGCGCGGGTCAAACGAGAGAATCTCATAGTGCCGGCGGCCAGGCCTGTCGAGGGCGTCGCGGAGGCGCTGCGCGCCGCCGCCGAGCATGCTGTCGACGCCGGAACCGCCGGGCCCGCCGGGGTTCGTGATGACGGTGCCGCCAAAGGAACGGTCCGAGGCGGGCACGGTTGCGGGCAGCCGGATCACGGCCAGCACGACGACGCGCGGGTCGCGGTCCGCGGCGCGCCAGTCCATGGGCACCGTCAGCCGCGCGCACTCGTACCCGTCGTAGCAGGGCCGGTACGAGAGCACCGTCGAGGGAGGCACCTTGTCCCAGTCAAAGCTCGGCACGGCGTCATCGTTGCGTGGGGGGTCACGGCCACCCTGCGCCAGGGCGGCGGCGGCCACGCCAGCTACGAGAGCTGCTGTGTATCGCATGGTGCCAGGTGGATGTCCCCTCGCCTTTTTTTGTTTACGGTGGCGTGATCCCGAGCGGCAAACGGAGATGGAGCAAAGGAAGAACGTTATGGAGATGGCGATGGTACCGGCAAGGCTGAGGCTGGGATGATGTCAGGTCATGGCGTGCGGAGTCGTGCGACTGCTAGCGCTCGGCTTCAGCACCCGAATCTACGCATCTGCTTTGGTTCTGAGCTGTTGGCTGCTGCGAACAAGAGCTATCAAGTCATGCCAGCAAACCGACTACAACTAGAGATGATAGCTGAGATTCCGTGGGGATGAATAACCCCAACTTACCTAGGTTAGTAGCTAACTAGTGTTGTTGCTCCCATTCTGGCACAAGCTTTTGGTATTAACTACAGGTACATAGGGTAGTTAGGTAAGTACACGGGGATTTCAAAACTCCCACCCGAAAAGCCGGCGCACTGTGAGCGTATTCGGGTGACCCCACTTCCGTACTCGGACCGGTCAACAGCCGGTTTATACGAATTCACGTTCGAAATATGTACCATTGATTCCGCATTGGCAAATGCGCGCTATGCGAAAACAGTTCTACCCTATCCACGTCCCTTTTCAACAGGGTCAAAATTAGTCGCTCAATGCTGGCTCGGATATCTTCGGCGAGACTGCGCGCCACAACCACGGCGGGGTTCCAAAAAAGGGGTGAAGGCCCATCATCAAGAATAACAAGAAAATGCATTGCCTCTCGGCGTCGTCTATTAGTGTAAATGTATGACTCCCAACATTAATATATGAAAAAGACCCCGCAATGCTCGTAAATGGAGGGATATTCTCCCTCGTAGTAAATACTGTTGTGTGTTCGTCTCTAGTCGCTCTTCTTCTTCTGGGGAATTGGGTTGCCCTTATCGTCAATGAGACCCTTTTCACGCATGACGCGCAAGGACTCGTGGATAGGGTCGAGCTCAGGTCGCGGTTCGCGGTGCGAGTCAAAGTAGTTGTCGGCCCAAGTGAAGTACTGGCCGTAATTGCATGTAAAATACATGTGGTGAAGCGTGTGGTGGGCCGGGCTGTTGATGAACTTTTCGGACCAGGTGCCGGTGATCATGTCGCCGTCGTGGATGAAGATGGTCCAGAGCTGCACGAGAATGAAGAGCACTGCATAGAGGTACTTTTGCATTGGGCAGATGAAGACAAAGATGTGGTATGGAGTCGACTGGAGGAATCCATCGACGGGGTGGAAAGCAATCGCAGCCCAAGGCGTGGGAACAATCCACTTGTGGTGAGGCTTATGGACGTATTTGTAGACGCTGGGGTGATGCTCGAGTCTGTGAATCCAGTAGATGAAGAAGTCGTTGAAAATTAGGTATATGATTGTCGAGGCAATAAGCCAGGGCCAGCCGTATTCATCGATGCGTGTGTAGAGCAGACTGTGACCGCGGACCTCGGCGAGGAAAAAGGGCAGACTGAGGAGATCAATGACAGGAATAGCCCAGAGCGAAGACATGATTTCCTGGTGAATTTGGTTCTTGAGGAATCGAGGGTGGTACTCGAGACGACGGTCGAAGATGAAGTAGTAGGAGATGGCGGCGAAAATGAAGTAGATGGCAGCGGCACCAACGCCGGCGACAAACAAAATGGAGGCGCATTGACGTCGAAGGTCATCGCGCGGCAGCGACGAGACGATGCAGGACTCAATGGTCGAGGTGGCGAGCTTTGCGGTGGCGTTGTGGGCGGCAACAGCGCTCAAAAGTGACGAGGTCGACCAGGAGGCGGTAGGAACGGCATCGCAGGCTACAGCCGGGCCGGGAAACAAGTATGAGTAGGCATGGTCGAAGACGAGGGGGTCGAGAATTTCGAGAGCGGTATCCATGTTGTGCTACTGGTGTACCTCGAGCACGGCAAGGGACAGGGCAGACGAGCCAGCAGTTATAAAAAAAAGGGTTGCGGCGGTAAAAGGGCGTAAACGAGACCAAGGGAAAATGTTTGCTTGGCAGGACCGTCTGTAGATAAGATCAAATTTCATTTCATTTTTTACTAAGCGATTCGCTCCACTTGGCCAGCTCCGGGTTGGGCGGAAGCCGACTGGAGACGACTGGAAAGGAGGGTGCTCATGCCACTTTGTGCTGGCCAGTTCCCGCGTGCCGAAGCCACCAGAAGCCACGGTGCGAGATGATTCCGACTGGCACTGTCTCGGTGGCGCGAGACCTACCCTGGCCGCAGCTCACTGAGTCTGGCGTCGTACCTGGAATTGTGGTGCTTGTGGGCGGCCGGACCACCTCGGTCGCCGCAACATGCGCGTTTGTGCTTTGTGCGAAATGCGCTGTCGCACCTGTTGGCCATGTCACCAAATAGTGAGGCCAGTCGCGTCGGGAATGTCGTGTAATTCCCTGCACGCTGATTTGCAAAGGAAGACGGAAGTGGACAAGACCGACGTCCCCTGCATTACTGGGACGCTACTGGGCCGTCGTGCCGAGCGCCTACCTACACTGCCAATCTGCCCGTTTGTGTGCCCTTCCCTCGTGCCACACCGTGATGAAACGAATATGTTTCCTTTGTCACCATACTTTCGCCTCGCAACACAACACGGAAAGACTCAAATCGACAGCAAAAATAAAAACATACAATATTTACTAGGGCGGACAAAAAGACATGTACAACACCCGGTGTTCGCTGGTCGTCACCGAACCAACTACTAATCTGGCGCTCAAGTGGTTTTCGTTCGGAGATCAGACGGGATCCAGATTTTTCACTCGGCTATGGTCGTACATGCTAGATGAATGAGCATGTTCTGCTTATAACTCTCCTCGTGCAAACTGTTTGCCACACTGAGATCAGATATGCACGCGTGATGCTGCTTCACTTCCTACGGGTCGCTAGTATCAGACACAACCTCACGACCGGGAAGGATCTATATTACGAGAGGAAAATTTATCATTTTGCAACACCGGTAGATACATGGTAAGTAATTTGCTCTAGGTTACGCATAACGGCAGAGGGTGTTGCAACACGCACCGCATGCACAGCGGCTACCCACGCGGGCTTGTACTCGCGCAAAACTCTCACACGTTCGTTCGCTTGACTTTACAGGCCCATTTTCGACTACATTTCGTCACACAACTCCCCCGTCACTGGCAGACCGGTGACTAGACCCGCGAAAAATGCCCGCTGGTCCCTTTAACGCCCTGGGCCGGCTGGTGTAAACCAATACGTGTATCATGAAGACCGTGACGACAGAGCATTCGGGATTGCAGCACAAATAACGTAGTGAAACTCGTGCGATTCCTGCAAATACAGTCAGAAATAGGCGCCCTCACAATAACGAGAAAAATCTGAAGCATAAGAACGAAGCTGTCCTATAACATGCCACCTTCGATTCCTCATGAACATGGACACTGCATCATCACTTCTTGTCGGCAAAAAAAAAACCCCAACATCACCTACGCTTACCGCCAAACCCCACCAACGAAAGCCTCATGTGCGTCCACCATGTTGTCACCTATCACGGCTGTGGCTGCAACGTCCCAGGCACCTACTTCTGCGAGCCGGCGAGGCAAGCTGCCCGTGATAGCTTTGCCCATGTGGTGGCGTGCGCCGACATCTCGCTCCCGGATGCGGAAATCGAAAGAGATCATGCCTGCTTCCGACCGGAATGCCCTAAAAAGATCAAGTTTGAGCCATGGCGATGCTGCGCATGCGGCGAGGGCCCCAATGACACGACAATATGCAAGTTCGAGATTGAGGAAATACCCGAGTACCTAAAAGACTTTCAAGACCTGGAAGGGATCAAGTTGTGTAACCACAACCTGTGCATGAAATGCCCCAAATTTCGGTATGTATTCGCAAGATTGACCAAAGGGCGTGTCTGTGGGTTAACGAAGTTCAATTAGGGAACGGCGGTCATGCGTCGAGGACAAGAACAAAAAGCGGCGAAGCACGATGGATTGACACCCGGCCAGGAGCGGCCTTTGTTTTATGCTGTACCATTGTATTTAGTACGAAGTCATTTCATATCTCACTATTTTTCCCCCACGACAGCGTGAATCATTTCCAGCCTCTGCAAAATTCTTGTCGTTCATAATAAGGCTGGCTTGTCGTCGCGGCTGCGAAACAACCAACCATGGTGACAAGCAGTAGATGTAGCGCTCTACCAGCAAAATATAAAGCTGCCAACGCTATAAATGTCTTCTCAACACAGTTTTTTATGTGATTTACTTCATTCAGTACTTTCACAACATTTATGTTTCATTTCCTGCTTCGACAGCCAGGTAGCGATCAGCAGTGGTGGCTTTTTTGTCATTCCTGCAGTGGATATCTGAGCAACAGCACGGACTCGACTTGCTTTTGACCCTCCCTCAGCTCCCATCACGAGGCTGACAGGGCGATGCGATCTGGCCGCCCCCCCTCACCTCGCATTGTTTCGCCTCTGCATCGCACCACCCTAGAAATACCTAACCCGAGCCAAGACTTCATGCCCGTCACGTTTCCTCGCGGCGGCCCAGTTCCGTCATGGCGACGCCGCTGCAGTTCACAGACCTTGTCGACGACGTCTTCTACATGATCCTAGGGTATCTCGACACGGCAGACATACTCGCTCTCTCACGGTCCTGCAGGCGGCTGCATTCGAGATTGGAGCCGTGCCTGTTTCGCGACGAGCTCAGCTGCGATCGGGCCCTGCGCTGGGCATGCTGCAAAGACCTGCCCACGTTGGTCCGTCGAGCAGTCGCCGGCGGTGGCCACGTGTCCGCCCCGATTCGCAAGGTGAAGAAGTATGCCTGGGATTCCATGGTCTTTAGAACACTGTCTCTGCGGATCGCGGCCAAATTCGGAAGTCTGGGCGCCTTTAGAGCGCTTCTCGACCTCGGCGCGACGACAAACGTGCAGCTTCTAAAGGAGGTCCACAACAATCGCTACGAATACCTGCATATTGATGATGAAATCTCATCCCTCGCCAAATCATTGTCCATGAAAAGACACGCGGCTCTCCTCAAAGTGTTTGTAGAGTCAGATGCCGCCACCACGATGCCGCTGCTTGACGGAACTGCCTTTCTGGACCAGTGCCTCTTGAACGCGCTACGATCAGGCGCCTCGTTTGAAGCAGTCGAGTGTCTTCTCCAAAACGGCGCCAGCCCAGCCAGACTGCAAAGTGAACGCGGAAACAACCCGTGCCCCCTCGCCCTGGCCGTGATTTGGAACCGTCCGGTTGTGGATTTGCTTTGCAGGTTCGGCGCGACGATGGAAGGAAAAGCGATTCCGAGAAATCTAGGGCTCAAGTGGTTTCATATTCCCATTTTCGCAGCAGCGCGCCAAATGCACGAACACGGCACCGAGGTAGTGCAGAGTCTCCTCGACGCTGGCACCAGAGCCAACCACTGCGCCAACGTCTCCGTGCGAGGAGGTAGACGGAAGCCTCTCTCGTTGGAAAGCGAGCTCCGCCTGCAAGAGTCGGACAAGCAGACCAACATGTACAGCAGCTGCGCCCCAATGCCAGTTTACATCTACCTGGATTCCATCACATCATGGGAATCAAATCAACGGTTACCACCGACGGAAGGGCTGAAGTTTTGGCTGAAAAATGGGTTGGATATCGAGGCGGGATTACCACTTCACCAGATGCCCCCAAGGTGTTGCTGCGTAAAGCAGAAGTTATCAACACTATATTCGTTCATCACGGCCAAGTGGACTTGGCAGACACACCTGCATGATGAATATTTTCATGTGCTCGATATGCTCACAGAAGTACGGCTGGGTCGCGAGGCTATCCCAGCCTTCAAACCCAAACGATGCATCAGTGGGGAGGCTCTCCCAAACTCGCCTGCAGCTCGCCATGCCATCATTTGCAACAAGCAAATGCTATTATGCGATGAGGAAATCTGTACCCGGGTAGGTTCAACACACTGGATGCCACCTCCGCAAGCCGTGACGCAGCCTCTATTATAGTCCACGTCCAAATTCAATTTGCCGACGCATGTCATTACCCTGACATGTCTGTTCGCAGAAAAGGACCGATGCACTAGCAAGACTGCTATTTTTACACACTTGAGATGAAAACAAGTGGCGACATCCGAAAAAGGACAGTCTACGTCTTGCTTCTACGTTTAAATAGGCGTCATCAAAAGTCAATGCCCACCAATGACTGAAGACGGGCCTAGTCTGGCCTAGACTGGCTTGCACGGAAGCATATGTTCCTTTCAGGTGACGAGTAAATAGGTCAATAGGTAGGAAAAATGATGATTCTTTTCTTACCAATTGTTTGAAAAATAGGCTATCCCCATTGTTCTGATCATGCATTTTGCTTTAAAAAAATTTGCATGGCCATTTTTGGTAGTCGTACGCGACTCACGCGTGTGCCACATTACTAGTTCGCCAGACGAAAATTCGTTCGTTTTTTATGGCGATGAGTCGTCACTTGAGCCGGGCCAAACCATCGAGACCCTTCCACAGCCCAGTACAAACTTTCTATTCTACATGCAAACTTTCTATGCAAACTTAGTATCCTTCTGGTCAATTGCTGATTCCCCCAAAAACATAAAAGGCCGGCCGGCCCCCTCCCATCCAAGCCCAGCAGCAAAACAGTCCACCATTCATCAACAACCCAACTACACAAAGCATACAACTACTACACACAAAGTCATACTCTACAAGGCATCAACTGCTCAACTACACAAATTCACATTCGCACAAGAACAAAAACAAAAACAAAAAAAAGCAATCACACCGGTCAATATTTGAACCCTCAAATCAAATATTCCAGCACAATGTATACCGTTCAAAAATCCATTCCTTCTGGCATCAGCCCCGAGAGCCGTCGCTCCTCTGCCTCATCAGTCAGCACGGCTGCTTCGTCTGTGTCGTCCACCAAACCCGTCACAGAGGCCAATCTCGAGACGAGCCCCAGCGTCTTTGTCTCCGACGCGCCCGTCCACCCTCTTCCGGCCTACGCCCGGGACTTTCCCAAACCTACCAGCGAAATCAACATCGCTGAAGCTCTCCAGCGCAAGCCTGGCCGATGGACCATCAGCGGCGCCATTGAGGCCGGCTTGAATAGACAAACTTGTGCTCTCATTGACGAGACTGCCGAGCTCAAGGCCCGCTCTGCAGAGTATGCGGCAGCCAAGCAGGCGCTTCTCGAGACCGCCGCGCAGATGAAGGCGGCGAAGGCGAAGCCTCAATAGCGGTGGACAAAGACCAATACCGGAGTCGTGAATTTTTTTGAATACTGGATGCGAACATGATACCCCATGCTGGATGACGAATGATGGTGCCACATAGTTGGAACAAGTGTTATATTGATAGTTACTAGGCAGCAAGACGCCGTTTGAAACGTCGCAGCAAAATGTAACTTGATGCAAACAAACCTATAGACTCATAGACGTGCACCGAGCGTGAATCCATATGTAATAGAGCCAATCAGCACGGCAAGGTTAAGTAGAGATGAAATGCCGTGGAGCATGCCGAAACGCTTGCTGAGTGCCCGCATCTCGTCCGAGTGGGGGCCTTCGTCGTACCACTGCTTGCCGTCGCGTTTGGCTACAGCATGGTTAGCAAACTCGCCGATGTCATCTTCGAGGGTGTACGGACCTTGTCCTTGGCGCTGCTTCATGACCGCTCTGGACGCTGGCAGCAACACGACCATGTTGAGCACGCCCGAGACAAACATGGTGGCAATGGGGACAAGCGATCCCCACCGGTTGGACTCGTGGAGCAGCGTAGAGAAGCCATTGGGCGCAGCGAGAAGAGTGCTTCCGGGGAATGTTAGCGCCAGGATCGCGGGAAGCGCGGTCTGCAGGCCAAAGTAGATGGGGAAAATCTTGGTCTGAATGACAGAGAAGACAGGCCGCTCCGTGTTGGTGAACAATATTGGGCTGTTGACAAAGGTCTACGGGGTCATGTTAGCTATCACGATGCTTTGTTGAATTCTACCTCTGATGGCATACGTGGAAGAATGAGGTGCCAACAAGCGTGCCGTAGCTGCCAAACCACTGTTAGCGCTGTGCCATTGAGACGGACTGGAAAGGGAGGCAATTTACGCAAGGATGTGGTACGGCGCCGGAGACGTAATGATTGAGCCAGTCATGTTGAAGTAATACTGTTGAGATGCAGAACTTGATGGAATTTGCACGAGTGACGAACAATTCGATGTCAATGCAGAGTTCGGGCAATGATGTGACAATGATGCCGAGTACACCGAGGATCCATCACGTGCAGTCGCGACTCCTCGCGTCAGTCTCAAAGGGGCGATAATGACCTGGTATTTAGCAATTTAAGTGAATATTTTGGGCATTTATGAAAGTCGTGTTTCTTAAATATTCATTTCATCACCATGTTTATATTCGGTACCAGATTCCTTTTTTCCCTCATGGGTTTGCCAATGGATCATTGCCGGTATCTTTCTTCACTCAGGTGCGCGTCTGAAATAGCTAGGTGCCCATAGGCGAGCATCTCTGTACTGTGCCACAGCCACTTCCCGCGTCCACCCTGTTGTCCCCACACCTTCTGCCTAATGCCAGGCATACCATCCTCAAATCTCCTCGTGCATTTATAAAAGCAAGCGTTTTCTCGCTGCCGTCGCCTTCTGCATGGTCTGCGTTCTCATTATTTCCTCCTTGTAATCATCTGTCCCAACCCTGAAATCATGGCGGAGAAGGAAGCGACGGTCTTCATCCTCGACCTTGGCGCGTCCATGGGAAAGTCTCGCAGCGGCCGCAGTGAATCTGACCTGGACTGGAGCATGCGCTATGTGTGGGACAAGATTTCCGATATTGTCTCTGCGAACCGAAAGACACTCTGTGTCGGTGTAGTTGGCCTACGAACTGACGAAACCAGAAACCCGTTGATGGCGGACGATGGCTACGAGAACATCTCGGTGCTGCAGGAGCTTGGGCCAATGACCATGACATCTCTCAAAAGTTTACAAACGAGCATAAAACCGAGCAAGACATATTCTGGAGATGCCATCTCCGCCATTGTTGTCGCTGTCGACATGATAGACACCTTCACCAAGAAGCTCAAATGGACTCGCAAGATTGTCATGATCACAGATGCCCAAAGCGCCATTGATCCTGACGACATTGGAGATATCGCACACAAAATCAACGACTCCAACATTACCCTTACTGTCCTGTAAGATTCTCGCTCATCCAATACTGGCCAATTCTAATTAAGTAGTGGTGTCGATTTTGACGACCCCGAATATGGCTTCAAGGAAGAGGATAAGTCACCGACCAAGGTGAGAAGAAAAGCGCATCTTGTAATTCAACCTGAAACTTACATCTGCAGGCCGATAATGAAAAGACTCTCAAATCACTAGCTGATCAATGCACTGGCGGTGTCTTCGCATCCATTGTGGAGGCTATTGATGAGATTGACACCCCTCGTGTAAAACAGGTCAAGCCATACAAAACCTACGACGGCACCCTGGTTCTAGGCGATCCAGAGAAATTTCCTTCCGCCCTGAACATCAACGTCGAACGCTACTTTAAGACTCACGTCGCCCGACAAATCGCAGCCAGCACTGTTGTGCTGAAGTCAGAGCAAGGAGGGACACAGTCGACACACACCTTGGAAGAGGAGCCTATGGATGGAGTCGAATTCTCTGCTGTCAAGCAGGCGAGAACATACAAAGTCAACGCCCCCGATGCACCGGGAGGCAAAAAGGACGTCGAGTTTGAAACCCTGGCCAAGGGATTCGAATACGGAAGAACTGCCGTCCACATCAGCGAGTCGGAGCACAACATTACAAAACTCGAGACTACAAAGAGCTTCTCAATACTGGGCTTCATCCCATGGGATAAATGGGAGCCCTTTCTCGGTATGGGCGATGTCTGCGTCACCCACGCCAGGAAGTTTGACGAAAAATCCGAGCTCGCCATGTCGTCGCTTGTCTGGGGCCTTAACGAGCTCGAGTCGTATGCGGTCGCTCGACTTGTCACCAAGGACGGCAAAGAACCAATCTTGGTGCTTCTTGCACCAGGCCTGGAACCTGAACTCGAATGCCTCTATGACATCCCTCTTCCTTTTGCTGAAGATGTCAGAGCCTATAAATTCCCGCCGCTGGACAAAGTCATCACCGTGACAGGGAAAACGCTTACTACCCATCGCTTGCTACCAACGGACGAGCTAAACGAAGCCATGGGCGAATACGTTGATGCAATGGACCTTGATTCATACGGCATGGATGATCAGGGGTAAGTGCAGTATACTTGTAAACGGTAATGCCATGCTAAATTATCCAGTGAACCGGCCGAGTTTGCGCCAATTGACGAAACCTACAATCCAATCATCCACCGCATAAATAATGCTGTCAAACAGCGCGCTGTATATCCCGATCGGCCGATCGAGGACATTCCTTCGGTACTGCTTCGCTACGCCAAACCACCGCAAGATTTAATTGATCGAGTGCAAGATCGTATAGAAAATCTCATCAAGGAGGCCGAAGTCAAGAAAGGTATGCCCGACTCTACCCAAAGTACCGGCCACGCTAACCATCAAAAAGTACCCCCCAAAGCCAAGGGAAGACGCAACAGGGAAGCTGTCAAGCCTCTTTCAGGTCTCGACGTTGATGCTCTCCTTGGCGGCGACAGCAAAGGCCAAATCACACCCGAGAACGCCGTGCCCGATTTCAAGCGGGCCATGGCGACCTCGGAGGAAATTTCGGATATACAAAGCGCTGCCAAGCAAATGGGTGACATTATCAAGTCACTGATTACGGACAGCTTTGGCGACAGCAAGTACGCGCAGGCTGTGGAGTGTATTGGTGTCATGCGAGATGAATTAATCAACATGGAGGAGCCCGAGATGTTTAACGCCTTTGCACGGGAGCTGAAGAAGATGCTGCTCTCCGGTACACTGGGCGGCGATAGGCGAGACTTTTGGTTCAAGGTACGGTGGTCGCGCCTAGGATTGATCGAGCAGAGCCAGTCGGATGTCTCCAAGGTCACGGCGGACGAAGCGGACGAGGTAAGACTACTAATTTGTAATTGCGTCCGCACAAGTGCTAACCGCTGTCTTAGTTCTATAAATCTAGATAGTGCTGTAGGTGAAACATGTACCAACGGCGATATGAAATAAAACGTGCCTCGCTGCCTTAATGTGACCTTGTTTGCAGTGACTCGTAGCTGACCCGTCATTGTTGTACAGTCGCGGCACCGCCGAAATTTCAACTTGACATTGCCCTGACCGAGGAAACAAGGCAACGCAAGTCCTTGGCGATTTTTGCGCATCAAAGCGAAAAGATCTCAAAACACCATTGCTCGATTATTTCGTAAAGTATGCCAGCCAGTTTAGACATTGAAACACGGTTGAAAGACCTCGAGTCTATTATCGGGCAAGCAGTGTTTTTGGCCGACCAACCACAAAAAGAGCCAGAATGTGTGCCAAAGGAGGACGAATCCAGAGTGGTACAGAGGAAAGAGGGGAAAACGTCTTCATCAACAAATGCCTCGATCGATTGTGTGACGCCCCTTGATACTCCAGCATCGTCGGGTGAGGAAGAAATCGACGACATGCCTCCGTTCAGCGAACTCAAGATCCAAGACCTCAGTGACGAAGATGTTGCTTTTTGTCCCTGGAAACTGGTAAAGGGCTATGCAGACTACTACACTGGCAAAGCGAATCGCGAAAGGGTAACGTGCTTTTCAGATGCCCTGGTCTCCGCCGTTTGCTGACGAGATAGACAGGTCCGACCCTTTTTCGACAACGCTTTGAAAGACCGAGACTGGTACTTGTACGCATAGACTTTACTATCCTGCCATATATCAACGTCTGCTAATCAGCTGCGTCTCTAGCTTCTACATCCGGGACACTACCGACCCTAAGAAGGCGCATCTGCTCGTCTCCTCCCGCCAAGTCGAGAACCTTCTCAGCGCCATTAACAGAGCCCTCGGCACCGAGCTCACCGTCCCCTACGGACCGTCTCGGCGGGCCTTTTTCCTGCGCTTCACGGGCTGCGGGCCGTTTCGCCCGCGCTTCCTGCTGCACCACAAGCGACATGCGCCGGCGGCGGCAACGGGCAGCGGCCTCGACATCGAGGACCCGCGCACGTGGCCCAAGGACGACGGCCCGGTCGCCAGCGAGGAGGCGCTCGCGGCGCTGCCGATGGACGCCGGGGCGCGTCTCACCGCCAACATGGCGCGGATGCGCCGCGACCCGGCCAAGGTCAGCAAGCAGACGGCGGCCGAGCGCTTCGAGACGCGCAAGGAGGCGCGCAAGAAGGAGATGCAGGCCATGCTGGGCCACCTCGGGCTCAAAGACGGCGCGGTGGACAGCAAGTCGGACGTGGTCTTCTTCTCCGTCGACGTCGAGGCGATTGAGGTGTCGCCTGGGCCGGTGTCTGAGATTGGCATTGCTATTCTCGATATGCAGCGCGTCGGCGAGCAATCGCCCGGGAGCCGCGGCCGCGACTGGTGGCCGCTGATGGAGGCGCACCATTTGCGCATCAAGGAGTACGCGGGCCTGACCAACTACCGCTATGTAAAAGGCTGCCCCGATGATTTCCAGTTCGGGTACGTATCCCACCCCCTCCCCCTTCCTCCTTCGACGGGGTGACTAGACATCTTTCTCCCTTAAACTAACATGGCCTATCTGTAGCGATAGCACGTTTCCTTTCAGGGCCGAGGCCTGCGCGGCCGTGCTGGACATTCTGCGGCCGTACGTCGACGAGCGCCGGCGCATCGTGCTTGCCGGCCACGACATTGCCCAGGACGTCGGCTACATGAGCCGCCTCGGGTTCGACCTCGAGGGCGAGACGCGCAGCGTCGGCACGGTGGACGCGCAGGTGCTGCACAAGGTGTGGATGCAGTCGGACTCGGGGCGCTCGCTGAGCACCGTGCTCGACGATCTCGGCTTCGAGTACGCATACCTGCACAATGCCGGCAACGACGCCGTGCACACCCTGCGCGCGGTGATTGGCGCCGCCTTTGCCTACACGGAACCGGCCTCGCCGCAGTAAAGGATTCGAGGGGAGGGATGCGGGTTGAGGAGAGAATTTTGTCCTGGTCGTTTTCTTTTGGCGACCAGGGTGTGCTTTACTTTATTTCGTTTGTTGATACATGCTTTGTACAAGAGTATTGCAAATTGCTTCAGTCCTCAACCCCATCGTGGTGACTTGTGACTCTTTGCACCCATCCGTTTCCCCCATGCTCCAGATAATTATCGTCTTTTTTTTCTCTCGTCTTTGAAATCATGTCAAATGGGACGCCATCGCTATGAAGGGAGATATAATACAGAGGGGTGGTGCCGGTCCTTGCGGCTGTGTTTCGAGTAGTTGCAGTGCCTGTTCCCAAGCAACGTCCTGTCCCGATCGATTCCAAGGCGGCGAGTGTCTTCCTTGATTTTTTTTTTTCGGTGGTGTCGGCAGTGCGGTTCGTCGGGACGCCCTATACCGCCTTGTCGAGTAGTTCCTTTGCTTCGTTGACTTTGGTAGCCAGGTACGGGCTGCCGCCTCGATCGGGGTGGTTGAGCAGCATGGCTGTGCGGTGCGCCTTGCGGACCTTGTCCTTGGTGAGGGAGCGCTCGCTGCCAATGTCTGTTAGTATCCGGTATCCGCAACGTATGCCGTGGGCAGGGGAAAAGGGCGTACTTGAGAGACAGGATCAGAGTCGCCTCCTTCTTGGTCATTTTTTGCTCAAAGCCTCCTTTGTAAAAGGCCTTGCCCATGGCCCCGACACCACCGCGCGAGCGGCGCCAGGCGACGAGACCAGCACGGCCCTAGGAATTGTCAGTATTTTCCATCTAGTCTGCCACCCGACGTATAGAGATGCGAGGTCGGCAAGTTGAAAGTTTTGGTCGCAAAACTGCTGCGCGGACGGAACGGGGGGGTTTGCGCAAGCGGAGTAACGTACGAGGAAAGCGGCGACGGCGGCGCCAGCACCGATGGTGAGAATAGAAGCCATGATGAACGAGTCGCGACGTGAGGGATGACGAGAGTGGCGGGAGTAAAGTGGTCGACGGGCTCGAGACGAGTTTGCGCGCGACTTTTTTCCCCGAGCCTTGTTAGTCGGACCTTGCAGTGTGCTTGCCGGACCTTCCACGTGACTTGGCTGGACAGAGGTACATATACTTAGAGGTAACTTGCACGCAATTCCAAGTATCTTCAATTCATGATCTCTTTGTTCAAGACTTCCATCACTTCTTTTAGTCACAGCGTTTGATGCAAATAAATTTGGGCTTACAACTTCTCTGTGCCAGAGGTCCGCGACCGTCTCGGCGCCTTTAGTGGACTGATCCAGCAGCTCGTCGATGAGACCGTAACTGGCGGACCTTTCTATTGAAGTCCTTCACCAAGGCCAGCCTGTCTAAACGGCGCATTACCGACAACGATACTTGCGCGCCGAGGACCCCACGACGATACCGTCCACCACTTGGGGCGCTTTCAAAAGCTCTCCTTGCCTCGGAAGTTGGGGGATTCGTCGCCCAAGGCAAACTGACATGGGTTGTCCGCCTCCGTAATCTCGAACTCGAACCTTTGATCCTTCAACGGCACAAGGAGGTCGCATCTGAAGGTACTCTCATCGACCTTCTCCTGGATGGTTCTTCATTGCCCTATCCTCCGACATTGGCTGGATTGAAGCCAAGCGGGCCATGTTCCCTCATCTTTCAGTAGAACTTCGAAAGATCTATTTCGTCAGTTCAGAAATATAGGAAGTCATGCGCAAGGAAATAGCTATGTGTGCTAGAGCGTTACGATATGACAGCTAGAAATTCTTCCTGAGGAGCCTATCGTTATGTACGGATTCGTCTAGGTTATAAACCTCCAAAAGTAAGCTATCGATTGCTACTATGGCCAGTTCAAATCGGTCATGAGGCACCTCCGGCTCATCACAATACGCCATCAGGGGCGGATCGAGATGAGCTAATGCACAAGGGTCTGCGTGCAGCACTGATAGCAAGATCTGAACTTTGCATCATAACAGCCGTTTACGCCGGCCCAGATCTGGGATATCCTGCAGCCATGGCTTGGACATTCACGTCCGTCCCGTTCGTTCGTTCGTTCAAAAAAAAAAGCAAGTATTAATCCACAAGCGCACACATTAACTACATCATCGTCAAAAGGCCCCGACTACCTTTCCAGGCGGCGCTCGCAGTGGCGTGTCCTGGTGTGCGTCGGTTCCGGCCGGCGCAGCTCCCCGTCGACATGCGCCGCCGCCTTGTTCCGCGCCTCGGCAATCCGCACCGCCTCTTCCCCCTGCCGCTCTGCCGTTCTGTCACGCCAGTTGCCGGCGCCGCCGCGCCCGGATAGCACGCCGTGGGGGTTCCTGGCTGCGACGTCGGCCCCCGTCACCTGTGGGCCGCCGCCGGCCTCGAGGTCCTCCAGCCGCTGGCCCTCGGCGTGCGCCGTGGCGTTGGGCTCCGAGATGGCGTTGCCGGCGCCGCCGCGGCCCGTCAGGACCGGCGCCTGCGCAGGCTGCGTGGCGCGGGCGATCTGGCTCTTGCTGGGCGCGAGCGCTGCTGCGTCCTTTTTCTGCGCGAGGCGACTACATGTTAGCTACCTTGCTCTGTTGGACGCCGTGCAGGTGATCTTTCCAGCGGACCAAACACGAGCTCGGCGTCTAGTCTCGGGGGAAGGGGACGAGGGAGCATACGTTAACCGGCGCAGAGTGGTAGTTGCCGGCTCCGCCACGGCCTATTCTGACCATATCCGAGGTCATGTCGTAATGTGCGCTGGCAGCAACGAGGAAAAGGTTTGAATCGCTCTTCGCTTCCGCCCTTTTTTGCCTGGGTAGTTTTTTTTTTTTCGCGACGCCAGCAACCGAAACTGGAACTGTGTTGTCGCACGCCCAACACTGGAAACTAGGCAGAAGGTTTTCTTGCTGGTTTATGCCAGATGACGCGTCGCAGGAAAAAATTGAGAACAGGTCAGTTGAAAAAGGCGCTTGTCGCGCATTGACTGCCAGTGGAGAAGTAGTAAATGCCCAACTGTAAGCGATGTCCTTGGGCAAAAAGACTAGTTCAACCAACTGGCGCGTGCCGACACGTGTTGGGTAAAGGCAACCAAGTCCACTTGCAAGCCGCGATATCAGGCAATGATTACCGGTTGGTATCTGAGAGGCTCGCGAGTTTGGGGCCAGCGCACTGCCTTGTGGTTTCTTATCAGACGAGAGAAAATCGGGGCGCTTGCGGGAAAACGTTTCGTTTTGTGATGCAGGAAGCGAGGTTCGGCCTAGGAGGGGCGATTGGCTGTGCACGAGTAAAGAGGTCAATGGAACGCCATGATGAAGACTGGAGACGTTGGACGAAATATAACTGCCATGATCGATAGTAGGCAGGTAAGAAAAAGGTGCCCAGGGGAGTGACGTTGACGAAGAGTGTAAGTGGTTCCTGAAACGGGCCTCGCCAGATGTAGACACCATCAGCTAGCAGGAAACCGGAGCGCCCGAAAGGGTCAATGTTGTAGCCAACTATAATGGAGCTTTTGTTGAACGACCTTCTTGGCGCGGATTCTACACCTTTGTGATTTGAGAGGCTCTTGATTCACCCTCGTTGGAACATCGGCACTTTGGGAAGCCTGTCATCTGTCAATATGCGCCCATCCGTCCGTGAACCTATGTAGGCAATAGTGGTCTTGAGTTTATTGCGCAGAGAAAGAACCAGGAAAGCTCAGTTGGAAGCAAATTTCCTCTCTCATAATCATCAAGCTGCCCCTCAACATCTTTGCTAGGTAGGTAGCAGGGTCTGAGGACGACTTGAAGCAGGAATTTTACCAACGACATCCCTTTATATAACCAAGTTGTATAGGAATATTGACGAGGATTATACACGGGCTGAAACATGGATGGAATATGGTACTTGAGCGGCATAAATAACCTGTTGTTTCGTCTTTGTAGGGGGCCTGATCTAGGTGGTATTGGCATTGGGCGACGTGTGGTTGGTGGTGGAGTGTGCGCATAAAGGCATCCAGCAAAGGCCCTGCTACAGAGCCAACCAAGAGATCAGGTCGGAATATTGGAGGGTAGGGTTTATGCGTGCATCGGCTGTGTTGTCCTATAGCGAGGGGGTACTTGTCCGGCTACGTTGTACTTTTGAAGAAAGGAAAAACGCTGCTTATTATTCGATGGTTGGAGCAGCCCGTCAAGAACGCTGGTCATTACCGTGTACGTGGTAAAACCCATTCATCCCACGCCGTCTACGGGTCCCTCCGTGACTGACCCGGTTGCGGCGCGCCGGCGCCGGGCCCCGACAGCCTCCGCCGTCAGGGGATTGCCAGCCAGGCACAACCCTGTGCGTGAGAAGCCCGGGAGAGGTGTGCCCCGGCTCGCCACTCCATTGGCCAATTCAGCTCGCATTGTCTCATTTCCCTACTTTTCCTAGTCTCATTTCGGTATCCCAGAAACACGGGAATTTCCCTTTCATTCCTAGCCCCTCCAATAGACTTTTTCTGACATCGAAGCCCCAACTCTCTCACTACACAATGCAAAAATTCGTGTTTGCCGAGGGGATTCGTGTTGCTTTTCGGCTAGGCTAGTACATTTTCCTGTTTCTGCGCATGCTAATTACCAGTGCAAATACTTTTGGCATGAAATTCTTTTCTTGTTTCATACACCCATGACCTGGGTAGGTGCCCCCTGTTGCGATCGGCGCCGTCATCGAGATTTGGGACAGTGCGCATCAGCGTGCCTACATGTACCGGCCTCTTGGGAAATCGACCAAACGAGGGCCGGCAGGTAGGAACAAGGGGAAATCTGTAGACAGTAATCGATATGAAGAGGGCTTTGCGTAGGGACTCTGTGCAACGCCAGGCTGAAGTGGAAATATGGTCTTGGCAGTAGCAATTGCCTTGGCCGACCAATGATGAAGTTGGGAGACGAGTCCGACGGCATAATTTCGAAAAGAATTTGGCTACTAATAGGAATGGTCTGTATATACGATCTGGATGGTTGATACTGCGATGAGGGGGATAGGTGGACAATGTACACGCAGCAGCCACGCTGGAGTGGAAGTGATCTTCAGACGGGTCACGCTCTAGATTGACACCCCTCTCTGGTGCTCATGATTGCTCTGGACTAGTTACTGATTGCGTTCTAGACTGGCTGATCGACAATAAAAAGCATCATCGCAAAGTTGTCGTCTTACAACAGGCAGCGATGGTAGAAATGGGCAGGGCATTGTTTGAGATCTCGCATGTCGCTTACAAGACTGGCGAGAAATACATCGCTGTCATCAACAAAGGGTGCAAAGACAGAATCTCGCAGTTTCGTCCCATCAGGGCCGCTCTAAAAGGCATTGGCGAGCGATCAAGCCGTGACTTGGTGTCCCCCAAAGTATAGAAATATTCTTCTCAGGGGATACTACCTGCCGGCTTGGCAGCATGTCATGTGGTCTAGGGAAACGAGAAAAAACCTAGTTTCGGCCTCGTGGCTTGAAGCGAATTGGTCAAGTTGCATTCGGGGAGGGTGTGTAAGGATACATGAGCTGTCGAATCACCAAGTCAGCAAAAACGACCAACCATGTCCGTTTAGACCTCAATCTCTCTTTCTCTCTCTTCCCTTGCCTCAGAAGAAAGCATTGTGGCCCTCGCAAATAAATATGTTCTCAAACTCGGCTCCAGCCCATTCCCCTCAACAAGCGTTCGGCAGAGGCCGCTTTTGCTAGTCAGGCTGCGTCTCTCCAGAACTTCCCGTCCATCCCGCGCAATACGGCCGAGAGGGCCAATGGAGGGGTAAAAATTGACAACGAGTTAGCACGGGTTTCGGTGGAAGCTAGGGCTACAATGGGAAGGTCTGTAGCAAAAGTTCATGGCCTGCTTTTTTTTTACCCCAGGGTTCGTCTTTGTTGCTTGTGCATGTGCAATCTCGACAGGCTGGGAATTGGCCAAGAAAACAAAGGATCACAGGAACAAGGGAAAAAAAGGCCCCGGAGCTGAACGCGGGGGCCCGCGCGGCCGGACTTGGAGGGTTCGTGTGGCTTGCGGGATAAATGCACGAGGTTCTGCAGCGCGGAAGATTGGGGGGAACGGAACCGCGTGTTCGGATCCTAGAAGGGGGGGAATACAGAAAAAGAAAAGTCCAATGGAGCTTGAAGTGAAAGCCCAGTCTTCGCATGCCGCCACCTGGGTTTGGAGGAGGCTGCGGGTGGAAGCGCTGTGCCCGTCTCTTGCCGTCCCTCCATCTCAGCCTGGCCGGTACGCGTGATCTCGCCTTGGCTATTCAAAAGACAGTCAATCAGTGTGTCCCCAATTGGCAGCTAGAGACATTTCTGGTATATTGCGGTAGAATGCTCCGAGTATCCGTACTCGGTAATATTGTGCATGAATTGCTAAATTTGTCTTGCCTTTTCGTTGCAGTTTCCCCGCTTCAGAAAAGAAACAAAAAAGACCAGCTGAACCGAATAGCTTCCCCAATTTTTCTTACTGAACAACAGTGACAAGTTTTGGGGCGTAAATTGTGGTCTCTCGTACCCCTGCCAAATTTGATAGCAAGCCGGGTAACCCCTCAATTGCTAAATTGGACGACGAGAGCGATCGCCCTTCTGCGGCCACCCGTCTGATATCTGATACCCAACCAGAATACAAGACTATCGGCAAATGTTCGTTTCTTGTCTAGGCATGTCAATTCCAAAGAGGATGGGATTTCGCCAGACATGGCTATTCTAGCATCTGGAATTCGTCGTGGCACCGTACGATGTGGTGGGCTAAATAAGCCCCCGTAAGTTTATTATGCATCGCAGCGGTCGTCGTGCGGGGGCGGGGACGGGCGTCTTTTTTGCTGGCTGGCTCTTGGGGGGATAATGAAGCAAGTGCACGGCGCGCCGGAGCGACCAGGAAATCGGTTATGCAAATAATTGTGCATGTTTCCCGAGTTGCCGGAGGGCCGGAGTGCCATGCGAGAAGGAGACGCCCGCCAACTAGCAGGACCGGACGCAAAAGTAGTTTTTGCCTCTACGACCCGATTTGATTGTTCAATGTATCGGCCGACCCGAGCTGATCCGTCATCGGCGCCGGACTCCATCTCATCCCTCGTCACTGACCCGGGGCTCGGTTTTTGCTGATTAGGGTTTGGGGCTAGGTTTTCTAGAACCCTTATCTGCGCTACAATCATGACGGCGGCATTGGTAGCTGGGCCGCCCATGTATAAATCGGCTAGATTACACTTTTTATTTAATTTTATTATTAGAGGCGGGAAATGGCGAATAGACGAGGTTTCGACAGGCAAAATAGGTCGCGTTTCTTTGGGGTCAATGACGCCACAGCATGATATCACCCATTCTGTCATGTTCGTCACGATTTCGGTTCCGTTACTAGTAGTGGTCTAGATGGGCAATACATACACACGAGACTGGATACAGACAACCTGCGGGAACCAAGTTGTGATTTTGTTATCAAGATGGGGAAATGTACGCATCATACCTGCTGTGAGTCTTGACTCCCCGCTGTATCCGTAGGTAGGTATTTTACAGCGCCACAGTCTGTGGGGGGCAGCGCTACGATTAACTTGACGATGGTCATGTACTGGGGGAGATCAGGCGCGCAACACCGACAGGGGCGCAGGTTTGGCAGCTGCCCACGCTGCGCCAAAAGCCGTGCCCATTGGCGTGACTTGGCTTGCATTGGTAGGTACCTGTTACCAGTGCTGCCGGAAACAAAAAAAAAAAACAATGTCCAGTCCCAGCCGAGGCAAGTCCGCTCTCGGCTTTGTAGAGAAGAAACAAGACAAATACAGTGGTGGAAAAGAATACTCAACACACCCCCTCCTCCCCTGAAAGAAGCGTGCCCTTTGTTGATGAACTTGTAATACCGTGTCCAGTTATCCCTTGTGTAATAATTAACCACGGGCCGTACAGCGCCTCGCCCTGCCGTCAACGGGAACTCGATGAAAGAAAGTACGGCACAATCCAAAGCACCTTGATAACAAAAAAAAAAAAAATCCCCCTTCTTTATGCCGCGCTTTCATCATGCTGTTCCCTTTCTCTCATTCATCAAATTGTCTCCTTTCCTACCCTACCCACGGGTTATTGTATTACCGTATTGGCCAATTCCATTGGCTCGGGTCGGAAGTTTTTGGGTTTGGGAAGGAGCCACCACACACCCATCGAACTCAATAGGCTCGCACGCGCCCATACTTTTTTCTTTTTCCTTTTGTTCCTTTTTTCTTTTCCTTGACTAGATCCGAGACACTGAGTTAGGGCTTGTGAAAGGGACGAACATGTTTTGGTGACGACAAAGCTAACTAAGCCAATTGACTTTTTTTTTTTTTTTCAACGTTGTATTACCTCTCTTCACATTGGGTACGGAGGAACGATGTCCGGTTCTTTGGAAAAGACACACCTCTATCCCCTATCAATCTCTTTTTCAGGCACGAGCAGCACTGGTGCCTTGCGCTAATGCCTGGCCACCCCCCTCGTCCGCCTGTCAGCTCACCACTTGTGTGGTCAGGCCGACGAGTTGCTTGGTGTGGTGTACTTGTGTGGCCAGAGAACGGCCAAGGCAGGCCACTGTACCTACTTTTTTTCTTTCTCTTCTTATGCACAACATAGTCCCAAATCCAGAGATGATAAAGCCCACACCTCCCTGCCAACTTTTTATGAAATGCTCAATTTTGGTAAAGTGGTAGTCGCGGGCTTGTCTGTCCGGGTGATCAAGAAGCCCCCCCTTGTCCAATCACATGCCCGCTCCTCGGCTCCACCGACGACCGTTCGCTCCGATGGGAGAGAATGCCGTCCAATTGCCAGGCAGCGAGACTAGTTAACTAGGTAGCTTACAGCAGAAACGAGCAAAAAGAAGGGGTGTAGGCCTAGTCTTCCAGAAATACTTTGAAGAATCATATACCTGGTGCTGCCCGCACAAGTACTGGGCGCTCGTGCTGGTGCGTCCCGTGCTGCGCTCCGTGTGGCGCCCCTTGCGCTGGAAACTGGTAGAAACCTGACCCAACTTTTGAACGCTGCCCCCCCCCCCCCAAACGCCTTGTCTGATGGTACTTGTCCCCACGCGCTTATTGCTTAGTGCGGGCAGGTACCTTGGCTTTGCCATTGGGGCCCGCTCCAGCGACGCCTAGACTCGTGCCGCCCTCCGTTGTCGCCACCTGTATTTTCGGAAACAGTCATTCATGCCAGCCCGCATTCGCAACGCCAATGTCGTCCATTCTAACAGGTACCTACCCAGGTACATTGTTACTTGTAACCACAGGCTGCTTGCCAATCCGGGCCAGAGTAGACCTGTCGGCAGCTGCCTCTAACTGGTTATATGAATGATTCAGAGTAGGTACGTTCCTACCTTGCTGTAGCTATATACCCGTCAAAACCCCATTCCCATTGTTTGCTTCAGCCTGTTGGCCCGTCAAACCCCAAACCCCCAAAACTCCGATACTCTTCTGCCGTCCTCTGGGCCTCTGGGCCGTGTTGATACGCTCGCGCCCCCTCCCAACGTTGGGCCTTCCCCCAGCTGGCTGGCTGGCTGGTGGCAGTGCCACACGCCATGCGCTATTCCACTTACACCCTCCCTCACCTCACCATGTCCATCACTCACTCCGCGCGACACACCACGCACCATCCAACTAGTCGCAGACAACAAGTACCTCCCCCATGCTGCCTCTCTCCATGCTGGCCAATGTACCCTGTCCAGCGACACTCCTCCTCGGTCGCTCGTCACCCTCCCACACACTCGCACACACACGCCCCTCCTCGCTGCCCACTACTCCCGCATTGCTCCTCCCAAAATATTATTTCTCGTCTCAGCCTACCTTTTTCTCACGACACATTGCCTTTTTTTTTGCTTCCCAACTTTTTTTCTGCTTGCTTCCACATTCTCCTTCTTCTCCCATACTGTCCTTTACCACCCACCAAGTACACAACCACTCAACCGTCCAATCGATCGTATCGCTTCGAACGCTCGCTAGCGTCATCGTACTCTCTCTCGATCCCACCGGCACCGTCTCGTCAGCCAATTTACCCCCCTCGCCCTAGACAGACTACTCGACCCGGCGTCCCCTACTCTCGCGCCACACGAGCAATCCAAAAGTCGTGGGCAATGGCTTCTTCCAAAGTATGAATGGCCATCCTTCCCTCCCACCGCTGTCAACACTGGATTGTTTCTGCCGCTGAGAAGTAACCCCTCTTGCTGACTTGGACTCCCTCAACCCGAAGGAGATGCAGCACTCGTCGAGACCCTTGACGCACCAGCGCCCCTCGCTCTCCGCAGTCTCCTCGTCACTGCCTGCACGCCAGACGCACGCGAGAAACTCGTCCCACTCTCTCCTGACCGGAGCCCTCAACCCGAATCACCGCGTCACTCGACGCAAGTCCGTCACCAACCAGGCTCACAACGTTGCCGCCCTCACCGCCGCCCTCACCGACGGCGACCCTACCACCGCGATCCCCATTGCCAACGCCTCCGCTCGACGAAACACCATCTCCAAGGCTTTCAAGATGTCGGTAGCTGCCAGCCTTCCCTCCCCGCCTGCTAGTCTGCCGCTGCACCGTTCCCTCGCAGAATCCAAGATGCACCAGGACAGCGCCATCGACGACGATTCCATGTCGGGCGACGATGCCGACGGCTCCGTCGACGAAAACCGCGCTCGTCGTGCTAGTGACGGCCAGCCCTTGACAAAGGATGGCAAGAAGAGCAACCGCGTCGAAGTTCGATGTGAGACCTGTGGAAAGGGCTATAAGCACAGTAGTTGCTTGACAAAGCACTTGTTAGTCTCTCGCGGCAATGACGTGTGCCCCAACCGTGGACTAATTCGATGCACTATAGGTGGGAGCACACCCCAGAGTGGTCCTTGACCTCGAAGCTGCTCATCTCCAAGCACCAGCAAGTCCAGCTGCTTGAGGCTGCCTCGGTCCTTGTTGCGATGAATGGTCCCAGCCAGGAACCCGAGGTAGTCACGCCTCCCGACTCTGCTAAGGACTTCGCCAGCGAGCCTGAATCCGCCTCTCCGTCCGCCTCTGGCTTCTCGGAACAGCAAGATCGACACAACTCGACTGACCCGACCCCTCCTCCATTTGGCGAACCACTGGGTTTTGACGGTCTGGCCTATCGTGAAAAGCGTCTGAGTGGCGGTAGCGGCATCGCTCAAAGTCTCCGATCGCCCCAACTTGGCCCTGAGCACCTCGCCAACAATATCCCACATATCCAGTGGAACAGCGGCCGCCGACCCTCGTTAGGGCCTGCTGGCACTGGCAATGAGGACCGCGATCTGGCTGCTGCCGTCGAGCTTCTTAGCTGCAGTTTTGGTAGCAACGGTGGGCGTGATGTTGTCGGCGTCGCTGCTGATGCCCCGCCCGTACCCCCAGTTCCCGAACAGTACCGTGATCAGGCACGCTCCTTTTCACACACTGGCTTCCTCAACAGTTTCCCCCGACGCCAGCCCGAGAGCTTTACTCGAGGCGAGTTCCGAAGTAGTAGCCAAGATGTCAAGATGGAGGACAGTGGCGAGTCGGCGGCCGACGAAGATGATCTCGAGTCTCGCGCTCGCGCTCGCAGTGACGAAGACGACGATGGTGTCTTTGGCCGTATGGAGGAATAGCCGCAGAGTTGTCAACCTCTTTTCTTTTCTTTGTTTTGTTTGGAAAGGCATGGAGCATAACGGAAGTCGGGAACTTGGATCTGGAATTGGATTATAATCATTGGGAGGAACGGCGCGATGTCTCTTTTGTATAACGATATACACACAAACCTGTACGAGGTGGTTCTGCTCCGCCCGGATATTTAGCACCGAAGAGTGGAGAGCCCGTCTGAGCAGTCATCTTGGGCTGGGACGTGATTGCTTCTCCACGAGGTTAAAGTGAAGATCTGGAGGCGTCGAGCGGACACCCGAATAAATACCAAACGAAGCGAATACATATTCAAGCGAATACATATTGAAGCAAACAGTTGGATGCTCTTTTGATGTTTTTGCGACGTGAGGATTGGCGACGGATGGCCAGATGATGATGCTTGTGCAGACTGGAAATGGTTGAGGTGCAAACGGGCACTTTGGTGAATTGGGTGCTGGGCCACTTAACAACAGAGCTTTTGCCACATCGGTTGACCCTCGAGGAACACCTAGCCACACGAGGAAAGTGGCCGAGGATCTTGGAAGAAATGTGTCAGGATGTGAGATTGTGCACTGACGGTGGGAGTTGGGGACTTTTGGGTTGCAGATCGACCAAAAGACATGGACCAGTCTCTTGGTGATGGGGTGGTTGGGTGGTTGCCGAGTGGTGGAGGCTCCGCTGTTGGTGCCTCGAGTCACAAACTCTTCAACTAACTTAGCCTGGGCCACGTACTTTGGTATTATCGAGTAACGTGGGTAAAAGGATGGAAAGTCTTGTGAATGTATTTATTATTGGCACCAAAAGGTACTGCCTGGATAATTAGGTAAGTAAGGATTTGCCAAAATATGCTGCCAGCCCGCCTGTATGTACGGATGTACGGATACAGCCAGAGAGCAGCTGGGAGTAAATCAACCATTCATCACTGTAATTTCTATTTTCTATTTTCTATTTTCGATGCAGTTTCCAGTTGTCGCGGGCATCCATTGGCTACCTTACCTGAGTACTACCTCTTAATAGGTAATTTGTAGGCAGTTCCGCTTCTGCTGGCCGAGTGCCGGATTTACCCACCAATTTCCACTCTCCAAGATGCAAACGCGGCACAAGACCGTTTTCAGCAGCTGAGACGCGCCGCCCACGCTAAAGCTCCTGGTCAACAACAAAGCCGAGCAAAAAGCACCACACCATCTCGCCACCCCCTCCATCAAAACCCAGAACCGTCGCATAACACGAGGCAAACACCTCTTTTGCCAAGCACTTATCAACAATTTTGCTTCAACATCAAGATGCCTCGAAAAACCGTCAAGAGCGAAGCCAGCACGGCTTCGCCCGACCCTGCACCCGCCAGATCGACCCCGGTCAAGGCGGGCAAGACCACGAGCACCCCCGCGAAGAGCGCCTCCAAAAAGGAAAAGGACACGCCCTCCAGCAAGAGCAGCACCACCAAGACCTCCAAGGACAAGGACGCCGCCGCCATCAAGCAGCGTCGCCAGAGAAGGGCCAGCAGCACGCAGGTCCAGCAGCCTACGAGCAGCACCAGCGATCCTCGCCGACCGCTCCTCGCCGGGCTCCCGCCGGCCGCCCGATTCGCCGCAGCCGAGGCGCTGACGCTGGCGCTGCTCGTCGC